ACTGTTTCAAGTCCTCCCTGAGGTACAGAGCGCTGTAGTCTTTTCTCAAGCTGTTACTGTGATGAAATGTGTTTAAATAGTGATACTGTTATCCATAGGCCTGTATATAGCAGTTGTTTTTTTTTCTTTTTTCTTTAAGTTTTAGTTTTAGTCTCTGCCAGCTTGTCTAACTTTTCCTTGTTTCTAAGTGCTTGGTCAATAAACTGATCCTGGGTGGGAGGGTTTCCGAGAAAGGCAGCTGCAGTTCTCCCTCCATCCTATAGGTTGCGCTGTGAGTAACGACCTCCAGCGTTCCCGGACACACACACACACACACACACACACACACACACACACACACACACACACACACACACACACACACACACACACACACACACACACACACACACTCTCTCTCGCTTTCCCTCCTCTTTGATAACCTCTCCTCCGCTGCTGCTCCACATGCTCTCTTCTGATTGGCTGATCTGACTGCCGCTTCCTGCTGACGCACCGCACAGTTTTTGCAGCAGTGTTTTGGTTTGGTTTATTGATGCTTAGGAGGCTCGTCTGCTGCTTACACACACACACAAACACACACAAACACACACACAAACACACACACACACAGCCGGTTTCTGTCGCCTTTTTTTTTTATTTTATTTTTTTTGTTTGCTCGTCGTTTCAGTTCGCTGAAACTAAACACCACGCCGGTCAGAGATGGCTCAGTGCTCCGAGTCTGCTGACGTTTCCTCCGCGGTCAACGGAGAGCCGAAGAAGGAGAGGAAAGTGGCTGTTATCACCGGCATCACCGGACAGGTAACATTTAATCGCTCACTTCATGCTCTGGGTTTTGTGCACACTGTTTGAATGAATGCACGACACGGTGATATATCTCTACAGAGTCAAACACACTGTAGCATCTCTCTTTAGTTGTGATTTGTGTTGAAATGAGATGTGCAAGGTGGAAAACACACCTGTCTGACCCTATTGAATCTACTCTATGCCCTCCCTGATGTTTGGTCAGTTCATCTCAAATGATAGTAAAGCTCAGTTTACCTGGCTTGTTTCCCCCTTTAATCTAAATTATTCCCATTTCTCATCAGATAAATGTCTTGTCAAATCAGACTTGTTCACCTGTACTCTCACACACGCATGCTTTCTCTGCGTCTTCACTGACGTCATCATGCCACTAAATCTGTTTATTTGATGGATATTCCCTTGAGGTCATGAACCATCTCGTTTTCGAGGGGGGTCCAACACACACACACACACAAAAAAACACACACACAACAGTACAGTGTGATGAGATGAGATTCAGCTTTATTGTCATTACACATATAGAAGTTTAGAGGAACGAAATGAGGTTTGGCTTCTCACCAGAAGTGCAAACAAGCAGAAAGTGCAAGAATCTGTGCTATGTACAAGTAATTAAAGAATTTACAGATGTAGACTAAAAAAAAGTGAATTATTGGGTATATATGGCTGGATTAATGGGATGCTATAAATATAAATAAATGCTGTAAATATAAGTATATTCTTCAGATCATAATATACAGATTAAGGTGCAGTGAGCATGCTATACTAGATTACAGATAATATACAGAGTATGGACATATTGTGCAGGTCGATAACTTATTGAGGTGACTATAATACAATAATACAGGTGGATGAGAGCACCGTACCAGACTGTAACACTGCTGGTCAGGATGCTCTCGATCACACAGCGGTAGAAGTTCCTCAGTACAGCTGAAGACAGGTGGTGTCTCTTCAGTGTCCTCAGGAAAAAGAGGCGTTGATGAGCCTTCTTAACCAGACTGGAGGTGTTAGTGGACCAGGAGAGGTCCTCTGTGATGTGGGTCCCCAGGAACTTGAAGCTGGAGACACGTTCAACAGCCATCCCGTTGATGTGAATGGGGTTGTGCGTGCTTCCTCTTTCTCTCCTGAAGTCCACGATGAGCTCCTTCGTCTTGCTGGTGTTGAGGAGCAGGTTGTTGTCAGCACACCAGGCGGCCAGATGCTGTACCTCCTCCCTGTAGGCTGTGTCATCGTTGTTGCTGATGAGGCCGATCACCGCCGTATCGTCCGCAAAACTTGATGATGGTGTTGGATCCATGTACAGGTCTGAAGTCGTGGGTGAAGAGGGAGTATAGGAATGGGCTCAGCACACAGCCCTGTGGTACGCCTGTGTTGAGTGTGATGGTGGTGGAGCAGGTGTGTTCTGACCTAACATACTGGGGTCTGTTGGTCATAAAGTCCATTATCCAGTGACGGAGGGAGGTGTTGAAGCCCAGGTCTCCGAGTTTAGTGTTTAACTTGGAGGGGATGACAGAGTTGAATGCTGAGCTAAAGTCAACAAACAGCATTCGTACGTATGTGTTGTTATTGTCCAGATGTGTGAGCACAGAGTGCAGCGCAGTGGAAACTGCATCCTCTGTACTCCTATTGCTGCGGTAGGCAAACTGGTATGGGTCCAGTGTGGGTGGGAGGCAGTTTTTCAGGTGATACAGACACATTCACACACAACATACACACATAAAGGCTCTCACACACCCGTCCGCTAAGCCACAGCACCCACACCACCCACACAAAACCATTAGAAGTAAATACACATAAGGCTAATGACATATTGTGCAGTTAACAAAATAAAAAAAGCGATATTAAATGGGCAAAAGGAGATTATCATCAGAACAGTTTTTCTACAGTGTTTACATATGACTTCTTTTTGTTCGATGTCGGCTTCCCTAAAGTGAAAATGTGTGAGAAGTAGAATCATTTACTCGTAGACTTCTGTACAATCACACAAGTGAATTGAATTCTGCATAGGCGAGAGGAAACGACCACGTCTCTCGGAGTAAACCTGGATCACTTTGGACGCTTGCCTGCTGTTAAGGAACAGACGCACTTCATATTCATGTCTTTTTTTTTTGTGTACAAGGTTGCATCTTTAATCGCCTGTGTCTGAATGGCATCGCTTATGATAACTGAGTAACACGTGGCTTTGACACACCAGAAAAGGAAGCAGGTCCAACAAGTTCGCAGTATCAACAATAATATGTCTACAATAGGTAAAGGGGAGCGGGGGCTGGACACACTGGAAATTCTGCTTAAGGTGAAAAGCTTGGACGAGTCTGAGGTAAAACGACACTGCTTGAGAAAAGACGGTGTCAAAGATGTTTTCTTTTCTGTCACTCTTTTGTATTTTTCTCTGTGGGGATTTCTGTGGGGAAGTCAAAGAGCTGTGACATCATCATAAAAATACAAAAGGACACTATAGGACCCATAAATCTCTGTCATGAAAAGAACCAGGCCATGTTTATTTATGGGGGTTAAAAAAAAGACAAACACATCCATTACAGTGTTCAGTGTTTGCAGATTTGCAAAACGTTTGATTTATTTTAGTTGGGTTATTTGGCACGTTCCAGCCTTTTTAATGAATGCATTATTAAAGAAAAGTTCCTGAATTTGGGGTTTCATGTTTGAACTCAAATAGACAACTTTTTCCACCCAGACTTAACCAGGATTGTTTTCCTGCCAGCTCCCTGATTAAAAAAAACTGTGTGTGACGTTGGGATTAGCGGATGTGTGAGCGCAACAGGACAATTCACAGAGCAAGCGAGTGAGTGGTGTTGATGTCGTTGACCTGTTAGCGACTGGTGCAATCATCCTGCATGTAACGAAGCTGCTTCATACTGGTTTCTGCTCCCCAGTGTGTAACTGTGAACACAATTGTCCAATTACAAGTAGATTTAATATAAAGGCAAAAACTTTAATTATAGGGTGTCTGACTCTGTTGCTCCACCCCCTAGTTCCCTGTTGTGCTTTTTTACATCATGCCCTGCATCCTGAGACCCCCCCCCCCTCCTGTCCGACAGGGAACCTTTTCCAGGAAGATTTCAGGTTCAGCCCGCCTCAAATGTTCTGTACATTTTTTAGGAGGGCACGAGTGAAAAGGCTCGAGTTAGATTCTTACATCAAGTGGCAGCAACATCTGAGACATTTGGGTCAGTGATTCTGTGTTTGCATGGGAATATATAGAGGCATTGTTTCTTTGGGGGGGGTGCCATTTCCACAAAGGGTTAATATCCACAGGCGAAGGTGGAAGTTGAGGAACTGTTATTTCATGGTATGAGGGGAAAGTTGTCAGTTGTCCGTTCCCTGACTGCCACACCGGAAAGACCACTATCAGGTCTTGGAAAGTAATTTTCATCCTCTCGCATTCCCCTTGTCGAGCAGCGCGTTCTCCCCTCGTCCTCTTTAACAGGAAACGAAGAATAACAGTGTTAATTCATTTTTATTCTGCTGTCATGGCGATCCTGTCGAGCACTGTTAGACGGCCCGTGCAGGAGGCAGACAGGCAGACAGGCAGACAGGCATCTGGATAGACCATCTCAGAAGTCCCTCACAGGTCTGCAGGGTCACAGGGACGCCGTAAATCGCCTGGATAACTACTGTTCATAAATTAACGGGCAGCATGCTGCTCCGTCTGAATATCTTTGACCGCTGTCTCAGTGTGAAGTATCAGAGTGAGAAGGTGTGAGTTATGGGAGACCACCTGAGTGCCAAGGCAGCGCTGCAGAGGCCGATGGTGCTGTTTTTACGATCCGGGGTTATGAAGAGGACAGGTTCGGCTTCAGTGTTTCCACAGTAAAACTTTATTTTGGCTTTGAGGTTCGAGCGTCATGTTGGGAAAACAACGCTGCGCTGCAAAATGTTCCCTGGAGCTGTTTGATGCTCATCCTGCTAACCTTTTTCTTTCCCTTTTTCTTTGTTGCCGTTTGGTTCACTTCTTCTTGCCTCGTCTCGTTTCACGCCTCCAGTGTTAGACGTACAGGAGGAAATCTGAGCGAGTGCCAGTAATAATAATAATCATAAAGCTTAGAATCCGCTCACACGTCTCCTCTCTCGCTCATAATGGCGGCTGATGAAGGCTGAGACCTCCTCTCAATAGAGTCTCCTGAATTGTAGTTAGGCAGAAACACATGTGAGCTTACTGAAGTGTGGTAGAAAACTAGATTCATTTATTGCTCTGCTTGCCAAGGGTGCAAACTTTTCGGCACTGGACACAGGTATAAACACAAACTCTGTTTTAGTTTCACATTTGGAGCAAACAAACAAATGAACGTGTCAAACGAGAAAGCCGTGCCACATACCGTCAACTCATCTTAACTTCTCGGCCATTGTTTTAGCTCTTAGTGGTGGTAATATGAGAGAGCCTCGTTTGAGTCCCCCTTTCACCTTTAGTTAAAGGGATACTTCACCCGTTGAAACATGAATCTGTATTGACATTGGGTCATATATGTTGTTGAAATGTGAAATACATTTTGAAGTTGGTGTCTTCTTGGGCGTGAAAAGGCAGAAAGTGTATGTTTGGCTCATGTGGATGAAAGACACCAAATCCCAGAATGCACAGCACTGCAGGCCACTCCCACTAAGGTCCTCTAGTTCAGAATCAGAAATACTTTATCAATCCCAGAGGGAAATTCGATCGTTACAGTTTCTCCAGAATATACAATATAGCAGTAGAAATATAGTAATAAAAACATTTACAGACATATTTACTGCTGAGCTGGCAGCGGCGGCAATATAACATCGAGACAGTTGCTGCCAACAGGCCGGACTTGTGTCACGGCCAGCTCCCGGCGGCGGGCCGGGGCCAGTGGCGGCAGCGCCCAGTGGCCGCAGCAGCCGTCGCACCGCTATATTTATATTTTTTCGCCATTATCAGCTTTCTCCATAGAGCCTGTTAGCATAGCTTCCAAGCAATATGGCGGAGGTTAAGTTTCGATTCTGGGAGTGAGTTCCCACCCACTGATCTGTGATTGGTCTGTAGCTTCAGTGGTCGAAAATATGAGAACTAGCGTTGTAGTTTCACCCAGCTAACCGCAACAGCTTCCAGTGACGCAAAAAAAATACAAAGATTTCCCATCTCAGGGGAAAATGAGGGAGGGATGCACAACCATTCAAAAATACTACCAGGTTTCTAATGATACAAAGCTTAATGCAAATGGGTGAAGTATCCCTTTAACTCTTCTCTAAGTACACTAAAAGTCCCTTACTACTTTCTGTGTGTGTGTTTATGTGAGTACATGTTTGTGTGTGTTTGCACTTTCTTGTGGTCTGTGATTACGGCTTCATTAAACGATATCAGGCCTGAACGCAGACCTGTGGTGTGCTTGGCAGCTTCTCCATGCGGTCTAAAGTAAGCACATTAAAGTGATTAATCTGCAGCTCATACAGGATGACAAATAAACACATGCATGGCCCTGATCTCTGTGCACAAACACAATCTGGATTTATGCAAACTCAGAGACAGAGCTTAATTTTCATTTGATACATTTCAGGTGATCTTCCCCCGTAATGAGGCATCAGAGTCTCCTGTTATTCTCTGTGCCGCCAGCAGAGGGCGCCAAACTCACAGTGCTTTGATTGTTTTTTTTTTTTTTTTAAAGACATCAGATACTCTTCTGTTCTTTTCTCTTCGTTCTCTTTGGCTCACAAGAACAGAAGAGCAGTGACTGTGTAGATACATCTTACTCATTCAAATTAAATATCTTTTGTATTTTTTATCATCATGTCACATCTTTATATCCTTGAAATCTTCAGTTCTGAGAAGACTGCATGAGAGGTTTTTACTTTTATTTGACAAACTGCTGAGGTCAAAAAATAACCTGCATAAAAAATAAAAATAATAATTGTGTTCAGCCCTAAACGCACATGCTCAAACATGACCTGTGGAGAGATGTCAGAGTGAGGGGGTGCACATGAAGGAGCGCCTGAGCAGTTGGGGGTTCGATGCCTTGCTCAAGGGCACCTCGGCAGTCCTCGAGAAGTGACCTCGCACCTCTCCAGCTACCAGACCAACTTCATGACTTTGGTCAAACCAGCGACCGTCCAATTCCTAACCCAAGTCCCTACAGACTGAGCTACAAAGTTCTCGTATACCTGGTCTAATTTTATCATATTGGAAACAGGTTTTGTTGGCAGACATATGTTCACTTATCATAGAAGTTGTCAGTTTGTTTTTAGAAGCGTACTGAAGCTTTGGTGTTGAAATCATAAAATATCAAATCACAGATTGATAAGATCAAGATGCAGCACATCAGTGGGGAAAAATGTTATGAACTGTATGTTTGCATGAGAAACAGGCGTACATGAAATACCACCTTCTGATTGTGATTCATATCCATCCTCGTCATGAAACCAGCCCGTGATGATGTGATAATGATGATGATGATGATGATGATGGGAATGTTGATTGGAGCTAATGTTCACACTCCCGGGTGGAGGGGCGGCTCTCAAGGACTAACATTGTTGACATTTTTCTGACACATGGACTGGTTTAGTCCAACATCAGCATCAGAGTTAGTTTTCCCCTCTTACTCTTTGTTTTCTCTTTGTTTTCTGATCTTTTTCTCTGTGAAACTTGTTTTACCTGACTTTCTAAAGTCTGTAATAGTTTTTCCCTCTCATCTCTTTGTCATGTTGGTTAGATGTTTTTTTAGAGAGGTCAAAATGCTTCAGCAACACTTGTAGTCTGAAGATCATCTTTTATTAACAATTTAGGCACATCTATTTGCAAAAATTCAAAGTCCGCAGAAACAAGGCTTCTCCTACGTCCTCCTGTTAGCTGTAGCATTAGCCGCATGTAACGCTCGGTTCTAGCCCTCCTTGAAAAAATTTGCCAGTGTGACGTCATTGTCAGTGTGAGATCACTGATCTAAGCTCATTGTGGCCCGTTAACTTCTGTAGCATGCCCACGATATGCCGTAGCCTGCGGTAGCACAGTAGTGCTAAGGTGCTAATGTTTTTGCTCCCCTCGGAGCCAAAGTGGCTGCATTCCCAATATGGTAGAAGAGGCGTGCCATTTCCGAGATCCGTGCTGAGCGACTGACCAATTACGGCTAGAGCCTACAGGCCGACCAATCAGATCAGACTTGGCACACGTGGGGACTCTGAACGTGGGCACTTCAGAGCCTTAGAGAGAGTCAGAAGCGAGCCGGTGCATGGAGCGGCAGTACATGAAAACAGACACTTTTTTTGAATTTTAGCTTTGTGAACATACTTTAGTAGGTACATAGATTAAATATACGAACCCCAAAAAGGGCATAATATGTCCTCTTTAAGAGGTTAACTCTATTGTAACACCAACAACAGTGGGCGTGTCTTACCCCCTGCCCCCCCTCTCCAAGCTATTTTTAATAAATAAGAAGAATAAATTACCATAAATTGAGTGCTTAGGACTTTAAGTTTTGTACATGTGTTGCTGAAATTGAAAGATGTTTTAATTAAATTGTATCAAAGTTTATAATTCTGGTTTGGTACCCTGGAGATCACATAGTGACCAAAAACTCAAACGAGTCTTTGAGGTGTAAGTGGTGCTTCATTGATCTGGCAGGTGAGCGCGTAGTTGTGTGCGTGTTTGCGCGTGTGTCCACCCCCCGTCCCCGCTAAGCGCCTGACTCCCCATAACAGGAAACGGCGAGGTGAGGCCAGGGTTTACGGGCTAATACGGCCTCAAAGGAGCCTCTTGTTTTCACACAGAGCTGCAGCTCTTCAGGCTTCTTTTCCATATTGGTCTGGCGTGGAACACTTTGACCCTGGCACAGGGGCAGGAAAACATGACACCGGCCGGCCCAGAGCTTTGAACGCTGTGGGGACAGACCAGGCGAGGGGGCTGCCAGTGTACCCTGTGCCCACCTCCCACCCCCTTGTGGGTGAGGAAGAAACCGGGTTGGGCATCAGTGCCAACTATCTCCACCGCTCAACCTGGGAGAGTATTTCAGATTGCACCTTCTTCAGAACTAAGAAGTTTAAATCTGTAATTAATTAATCAAACAATGAATTGATTGGACCTCATTCCTTAGACAGTGTGTCAACATGCCATTCAAAAGCATGCGTTTGAAAATATCCCCTCTCCTATTGATTTCTGCTTATACATGTCAACAAATACATCAGGACAGGTGTATGTCATCCTGTTTTCTTCTGCCCTCTAGTGGCAGCAAATGCACATACACTGCTTTAAAGTCAGCTTACCCGTTGGCTAAATTGTCTCTGGTGTCTTCCTAGAAGTGTAAAGCTTTTGCTCCACCTGTACGTCGGCCGCTTCAGAAGAAGGCCCTGATGTAGCCTCAAACGTGCCCTCCCTCTCCTCTCCAGCAATGAGTGTCGCTGCACTTCTAAAGCCGCCTCCACCCTCCACCTTCCCTCCTCTGGTCTCTGCCCTCCACCTCCACTGTTACCCCCAGACCTGGAGAGGAAGCATAGGGGTTGGCACACTGGCTGTGTGTGTGTGTGTGTGCACATGTGTGAGGGGGATATTGAGGGATGAATGCCATGACTAGTTCGGAATGTTCCAGAGTTCCAGAATGTGCGGTCGGAAAGTCTGAGCAGGGAAAAAAAGACGAGGAGTAACATGGGTGAGGGGAACAAGACCTTATTGACAGGGCACGCACACACACTCTCACACACTTTCACACACTCTCACACACTCTCTCTCACACACACACACACACACACACATTGGCCCAGTGTCTGCCCAAAAGCTCATGATTCATGTGGATATTACACCTAATGATCCCAGGATTCAGGGAGTTTGCTTTTTTCCCGCTCATGACGATTTTAACGTGTCACAGAGTTAACATTATGCAGGTTTACGTTCCAACAATGTGCTCCACTTTTTACCAACAGGATGTTTTTTTTTAGTTTTTTTTTTTACGATGTTCAATGACGATGACGATCAGTGTCCAACTCGTGGCCCTGCGATGGTGTTCATCCGACAACATGTCATGCACTGACATTTAATGTGTCCCCTGAATATAAAACATCTGAAAAAAAGTTACTAAAACTACTTATAGGATTGAAGTGTGTCAGCGTAAAACATTTTAACATCCCGACTGAAAGCTTATCATTTAAATATCTTTAATTACAGACCGAAAAAATGACTAATACGAGGGCTTTAGACCAAACTGCGTCCTACATAATCCAGTCATACTACTAATAATACACACATTTCTCTCTAAGTTTGGGTTTAAAGATCATTTTGTGGATCTTCTACTTTTTAAAGCTAGTTTCCCCATTGTTCTTGTATTATTCACTGTAATAATTTCATTAAAACACTGCTAGACAGCATACAATACTCCTCTCCAAATGGTCAGAGATGTAGAAAATGTGATGGGGACTTGCTCCATATTATGCTCATAATCATGCTGAATTGTCTTTTTCACGAAGAATTTTGGATTTACAAAAACAATGATCCAATCTGACCCGACTTTTGGGAGATATACAAGGTCTCAATATGAGTCTCACTAAAAGTGTGTTCAACCGAATTGGAAGTCAGAGCTTCCTCTATCGCAGATGCGGTTGGCTAAATGAGTTAACATCCTATAGCACACCTGAAAAAAAAAATCTTATTTAGTGTGTTGAGGGATCCAAAATGCCAAAAAAACAAAAACAAAGCTGGTTTCTAAAAGTGTGCGTGAGATTAACATTGTTCAAAAGTACAGAGTGAATGTTTGGTCGTGTTTTGGTTGTGTTGCTGTGATTCAGTCAGCACAAGAGACTCTGACTGATGTTCAAACAACAGAGAGTCATGTATTTGCTGTGCAACTTTGCAGGTTTTAAGAAGTCTTTCCTTTTTGTCTTTTCAGGATGGTTCCTACCTGGCCGAGTTCCTGCTCGCTAAAGGCTACAAGGTGAGAAAAAAAAAAAAGAAGCCCAATCTGTTTTGGTACCAAGAATCTGTTAAAGCTCATAGAACTCACACACACTGAAGTGAAAGCAGACAGTCTTGAGTGCCAGCAAACACAGACGCACACAGGGAGCGACATTCCCCTCGATAAGCTGAATCCAGCCTCAGCAGTGCGCCGTGGCTCCTGAGGGATCATGATGTAATGTGACGGTGAACATTGTGCACGTACTGACTCCCACGTCACCCCGATAAGACCCTTAGTGTCACTTTGAGCCTGTTCACCCCTCACCTTCTACCCCCCCGGTTCAGACCGTTAACAGGGAAGCGGTTGTTGTTATACAGCTGTACGAGTGAGGTCACACACTTTCACCTGCGGCACGACGTGTTTTCAGGAGCGCACAAAGTCAACAGCCTGTGGATGGACGCATGCAGAGGTTAATGAGCTGTTTCTGACTCACTGACGCCACGGAGGGGGTTCAGCGCTGGTTTCACAGTCGTAAAAAAAAGGGACTTTAAGGCGGATACCACGCGTTTAAAAACCATGCAATCTCCCAATGATCATTATCTACACTGTCTAGTTAGCAGCTTTTACGGCTCCCTATTACGATCACATTCACACACTGCCAACAAGAGAGAGGAGAGAGGATGGAGGAAATGGAGGGTCGAGGAAATTTGGCTTCAAGGTCAAAAACACACTGATCGTTGGCTGGGGAAAACAGTTATGAGGCATACCTGCAAGACAATGAAAATATGCAAAATAACTTTGAACTAAGGAGAATGGGCAAAGCTGTTGAGCTCCATGTGAAATCAGAAATGCACCTACCTCGGGCAAAAATGTATTCATTTTTTATTGTTTGGGTCCTAAAAAGTCTTAAATATTTGATTTGAGCAGAAACCCTTTTTAGATGACCTCAAGATCTTTGGTCATATTTGAACCCAAATCTGCCTCAAGTGAAAAAGTGAGGGAAGGCAGTGGCTGTCCATTAAAGTGTACAGATCAGCGAACTCTGATGTTTCTCAGGTCCCTTTGGCATCTCATAAAGATTCAAAAGTTTTGTCTCTTGCGAACGGAGAGCAGAGGAGGGGACAGTGTCTGTTCTGCACAACAAGACTGGCAACTTCTCAGTACGTTTTTTGTGCGACATGTACAGTGTGCTTGCAGTTTTTCAATTAAGGACTTAAATTTTTTGTTGCCGTGGTATCGACAATGTTGAGTTTTACTTGCATCGTATAAAAGTTAAATAATTTGGTCTCGTTTTAGCCCCGCTACGCATACAACATTCATTTTGCAGCCGAGCTTATTTTGTTTCCTCTGCAGTAGCTGCATGACTTCATTTCCCCTCATATGTGGAGCAGCAGCAGCGCACACAAAAACACACACCTCCATCCGAGCCTGCCTGGCCAGCTTCACTCCTCTTGCCTGCCGCTTGCATCCGAGGCAACAGAGAGGAAGTGGACTGGTGTGTGTGTGTGTGGGGGGGTCTGGATTTGGGCTGGGGGGGGGTTGGTCGGCATTAAAGAGGAGAGCTAAGGCAGGCAGGAAGCGCACAGTGAATAAAGGAAGTGAGGTCAGGGCACAGCGTCGTCCCACTAATGGACTCCCCTCGGAGCAGGTTGTGTTATCTTTCCCGAGCAGAGCTTCCTCACACGTCCCCCCCAGAACACGGAGTACAGATCACAGATCACAGGCAGCATTAAAAACACATGATACACACAATCACTTTGCATCATCAACCTTTTGCACATAAAAACGTTCTGAGTACGAGATTTCACCATCAAGCAGATGATACAGAGTCCACCATTCAAACTGAACTGCTCTAAAAACAGTTTGTGCCGACCTCGTCTTTAAGTGTGCTCAGAATGTTCAAAACATCAAAACATTATGTGAAAAACAACAACTCTAACTTCTCTTGTCTGTCCATATCTGGTGTCTTCTTTTCTCTCAGGTTCATGGGATTCTGCGTCGCTCCAGCTCCTTCAACACGGGTCGCATCGAGCATCTTTACCAGAATCCACAGACGCACACTGAAGGCAGTAAGTGTCCGGTCCTCTCCGACAATGTCAAGTGTTGTTGCTCTGATTGGTTGTGTTGTGTAGCATTAGTCTGTAGCGATTAATAACACAACATAGAAATTAAAAATGAACTAATAGGTACCAGACTGAAGTGTTTTTGCAAAGTGGTCTGGTGCTGCAAGGCCAGTAAGGTCCTATTTCATGAACATGCCCAGACTAGAAATAAAAAGCTAAAATATTTCACATTGAAAATAAGAGCATGCTAACCAGGGGAACTATACTGCTTCAAGGAAAGGACAGTTACACCAGAGCATGTGTCGTTAACTTATCACCAGAATCCACTGGCTGTAAGCCTACTTTTGATTAATGGGACACTGCCTAAAGGTCACATATTTCTCTAACACTAATATGTGTCCCTAGCCCGTCTACAAACCCCCCAATGATGAGAAAAGTCCATCCTCTCTGTCTTCTGCCTGCTCCACTTTTCAGAAAATGTGTGCTCAAACAGGCCGTTTGGAGATTTTCCCTTCATGACATCACAAAGGGCAGTAACCCCTCCCCCAGGTGGGTGACACTCCCACAGCTAGGTGTTTGTTCTGCCCTCCGAGTTCTTTCTTCACACTGTAAACAATAGGACATGGAGCGAGAAAGCCTGAGCCACCCAAACCCTTCCAGAGAGGGGGCGTGGTCAGACACAGTTCATTTGCATTTAAAGCTACAGACAGGACCTGAGCAGGGCTGAAATAGAGGGGTTTATAGGCCTGTGAGTCTTGTTTTGCATGTAATTGTAACGGTATACTCGTCTTCCTCTCTGTCAGACATGAAGCTGCATTATGGAGATCTGACGGACAGCACTTGTCTGGTGAAGATCATCAACGAGGTGAAGCCCACAGAGATCTACAACCTGGGCGCTCAGAGCCACGTCAAGGTACGGTCATAAACACATCCTAGTCCAAGCAGTGCAGCGTTTTCCCCCCAATGAATGACCATGACATTTTAAAGTCGCCGCCCTTTCTTTGGAATCGATGCTAACTGTTTTGGAGAAGCACAGCCAAAGGAAAAGAGCTGTTATCAGTGTGAAAACAGCGGCTTGCCTTCAAATAACAAACTGTTACCATAGTGAATAAGACTCCATGAGGTTGGACTAGATGAGTAATTCTGCGTCACTTCCGAGGTTAAACTGGTTTCTGTTATCTTTCAGTTTTGTTATAATATATTAGTTTGTTGTCAAATCCAACGTGACAACTCACAGGATTTGAGTCATCAGCTCGTCAGTGCAAAGCACCACACCTCTGTTTGTCCACCTTCACTACACAGAGCAGAGAATGAAATATTGAACGCATGCGGTGTGGACAGTTAGCATGTTATCGTGTGCTAGTCAACGCGATATCCAACACTCGCATGCTGTTAGGACACGGTGATACTGCCTTTGTTTTTGCATTGTTGAGTGTGTAATCAGATTTTTGAACATGCCATTTTCATTTAATTTAGTTTTTCCCATCGTTTTCTAGGTTTGTTATTCCAATTTTACGCTGTAAATGAGAAACTCACTCCTGCCTGACTCCACAGCCAAAGACTTTTGCGTTATTTTAAGTCTTTCATGTGTTAATGTAAACGTCTCTCTAAGCAGGATTAGTTTGTATGTCAAGTAGTTTGCTGTCTAGTTGAAGCTGAAAACTTAAACGAAAGCAAACTTTTCCAGAACTTAGATCAATGTTTTTCTCAGCACTTAATGTGGTTTGTTAGATTTGTAACTAAAAGCTTGAAATCTTGAAATAGCACTTTCAACACCATCTCACTGACATCTACTTTGAAATGACCGAATGGTTCTTTTAAATTGAAGCTGATGGTGAAGTGTGTCTGAGTCAAAATGGTCCGAGACCGCTGCTGTTAACGTTTTAAAAAAAAAAAAAAGAAGAAAGAAGAAGGGGATTTTACTTCTGAGAAGTGAGCAGTTCACATTGTTGGAGGATGCTGGAGCTGATGGGACAGGAAGTCATGTTTTCTTGGATGGGTCGGTCTGTGCCACAATGTCCCTTTTGTCTCGGAGCTCTGTGGTGATCCCAGGAGATCCCTCGGCGCCGCCGCCTCCTCCTCCTCCTCCACCTCCTGCTCCTCCACGCTGGGGATCTGACACACAGTCTCCAGGCAGCGCTGATCCTCCGTCACCGAGGGTGGTTTTTGGGTCGGATATGGAGCCAAGAGCTTAGTCAGATCATAGTCAATAAGGCCATGTGTAATGTGAACGTGACATGCTGATTTTTAATAGTTTCTTCATCGCACGGAGCCACATTTATTGTTCATTTAAACTCCGTTTGATTCAGGTCTTTGAATCCTGGAAGTACCAGGTCATTGCTGCATCTCTTGGGTGTAGGATGAACTTTGTTGTTTTGGTAAATAAATGAATGAACTGATAAGAAAATCAACAGAAAATGTTTAAAAATCCAGAAAATGTCAGCAGAATGGAGACTAAAAAAAGTGCTTTACAGAAGACATTAAAGGATCATGACACAGAATAAGAGGACATTTAGAGGTGATAGAAACAAGCTGTGTTAAAGGAGGAGAAGATGCAATAAAACCAGGAAACAACAGAAGCTGAAAATGACATGTGGACTACAGGAGCTGGGGATTAAACGTTCAACCTTTTTTTTTGTGTGTGTGGCATGTTTGCCTTTATTGGAAAGGACGGCTGTAGAGAGACAGGAAATGCTTTGAGGAGACAGTGGGGGACGACATGCAGCAAAGGGAACCCACGGCCGATGTGATGAGGACTGTAGCCTCTGTACATGGGGTGTGAGACATAACCGCTAGGCTATCAGCTCCCCCGGAACGGTCAACCTTTTGATTAAGAGATGAACCCTTCAACTTTTGAGCTGCTGTCGTCCATATCCAGATGATTTATGGTTTGTGCCACTACAGCATCTTTAGCACAAGTGTAGCAGCCTTATTGCTTATCATGTTATATGTATGGATGCATGTAATCATTTTTGTTCTTTGGATCTGGGAGGGGGAGGGGCTTGTGGACTTAATTGGGTTTAGTTGAGACTAGTAGAGAGTGGAGCCACACAGTCTTTTGAAGTGTGTTTACTTTACAAGACAGGTTAAAATAAATTCAATTTTCTGCTTTGGGTAGAAATGGACGGATTCATTTTCGAAGTTTTCAAGCACAAATGTGAAGAAATCTCTCTAACTTCTCTAATCGAGGGATTACTGCTTTTCCACTTTATTGCATAATGAACTATAAGCATTCCTTGGTTGGTTGGACAAAGACTACGTCACCGCTGACTCAGAAATTTTGGGGTCTAAGAATGTAAAAGTGACAAAAAAGGAAATGAAGGAAGTCAGACAGACAGACGGAGAAAGGAAAAGAGTGGGAGGCTTGGTCAGATAGGAGAATGATGATTTCTCTCTCCACATCCTTTGTGTTCAGAGGCCATGACTCTGCTCCCACCTCCCACACGGATGATCATTCTTAGGCCACACACACACTCAGTGACAGAAAGTCCCTGTACCTGAACATGAATGTTTATTTGTTTCCACACCTATAAACCTCGCTCTGGTTGCTCCACACCACATGCCGCCCGCTCTGAGCAGCTGACCTCGCTGGATTACTGGCAGCAGCGGCGTGGAGACATTTCCAGTCTGTCCCACCTCAGAGGAAAAGATCAGTCACACCGGCTACTCAGCATCTCTCTCTTCCTCCCCTTCAGCCCTCTCAGTTTTACAGGGAATCCCTTCTGAGGCCAGAACGTTCATCAGACTCTCCCGGGGAGATGGAGTAGTAGGATCAGTGAGAGCTGGGGTGACTGTGTGTGTGTGTGTGTGTGTGTGCGGGTGCTAGTTTCCGCTGCTCCGAGAACACAGTGAATGTTATTTTCTGATGCTGCAGGGGCGGAGGTGGAAGGGGAATAGTCGACGCGGGACACTGAAAAAGGCCTGAAAGGCAGCCAGCTGCGTTATCAAAAGAGCTCCAAACAGAAGGGATATTATGTCTTTTTCATTTGACCATAAAACAGCAGAAGATTTGATCAGTTTGATCTCCGTGCTCAGGCGTCTTTCCCTGAAGCCATTTTCCAAAAAACGATATAATAACCCACAGGAAAGATGTCCTAAAGGCCGAGATAAAAACAGCAATTTCCTCCTGAGTTTCTGCTGGATGGTTTAATTAGTGTTCTAACTCATCTAGTGTAAGCTTTGGGGATGGATAGGAATTGCTGTAAATTTACAAGGAAATTTATAGGAATGTTTAAATACAGGACATTACTGTATTATAACGGTTTATAACAGTATTTTACTGTATTATTGCTTGAAGGAAACAAAACAGTAATTTACCGTAGTTTTTGCAATGCATTTTGGGAAAAAGAAGTTGAGACCACATGGTGGAAAGGACAGTGGAGTTGGCTTTGTCAGATTGTCATCCATCTCCATCCTGACACTTAAGAGGTGAGTGCCTTACTGCTTTGCTAGTTAGAATAAGAAAAAACCATCACTTACTAAGTTTGAAGTCATTTGTGAGATTAACGTTAGCTAGATTTTTTACACAGAAACACTGAAGGCAGACACACATGCAGTGAGTGAATTCTTTGCCAGCTAACATTAGCTTGAAATACAGATCTTAACAGTTGCTAAATGGGAACAAAACAAAACGTTTTCTTGTAATGTGGTTAACTAAGTGGGCTATAATGAACTTGACTTGCTTGCCTGGTGGTACTAGAATGGTAAGGTTAGCTAACATCAACAAGCTAACATTTCTTTGTTTCAGCTTCAGCTTCAACTTACACTGACTATTGATTAAATATTGAATTAGAAATGATGATAAGCTGGGCCTACTAGGCAATATGGCCATAGTATAATATACAGTATTTGAAGATGTATAAAAGGAAACTTCTGTCAGAATGGACCTGAAGCATGTTTTTTTGTTTTTTACTATTTTAACACATAAAGCTGCTACAATACATCCTGAATTCATGTCCTTAAAGTAATTCCAGGACTTATTTTTATTCATACTAGATCTACTTCATCATACTTTTAC